ATTTTAGCATTCGGAGAGTTGGGTACTTAGGGTTATTGGTATACATATAGATATTTTTAGAATTTATGAATTTTGGGATTTGGAGATTTGGAAAATTTCGAATTTTGGTCTTTGGAGATTTAGAAATTTACGAATTTTGGGATTTGGTGGTTTAGAAAGATAGGAAGTTTAAGATTTAGAGATTTGGAAACTTAGGAATTTTAGAATTTGTTGATTTGGAACTTTAGCAATTCTAAAACTTCTTGATTTGGAAACTTAGGAATATTGGGAATCGAGGATTTGAAAATATAGGAATTTTAGGATTTGGAGATGTGGAAAATTAGAAGTATGAAGGTTTTGAAAGTTTTAAAACTTTGTGATTTGGAACTTTAGGAATTCTAAAACTTCTTGATTTGGAAATTTAAGAATTTTGGGAATCGAGGATTTGAAAATATAGGAATTTTGGGATTTGGAGATGTGGAAAATTAGAAATATGAATGTTTTGAAAGTTTTAAAACTTTGTGATTTGGAAATTTAGAAAGATTAGAATTTCGGCATTTGAGAATTTGAGAATTTAAGAATTTGAGAACTTCAAGATCGGAAATCTGAGAATTCGAGAATTTAATAATTTGACAATTTCAGAACTTGCGAATTTGGCACTTTAACAATTTGACAACTTGAGAACTTGCGAATCTGACAATCTGACAATTTTTAATTCTAAATTCTAATATATGATTACATTTTCATGAACCATCTTATTCTATCATAAATGACGCGTTAAATCAAAAAATCTGTTTTCCGCCATTGTAGAGTTAATTGCCAAACGTTATTTCCGTTAGAGGGATACACGAAGTTAAAAAAGCACAACGTTTTGTATGTGTATCGATCAGAAATGGAGAACAAATTTATTGCCGAGGAACAAAGTGCCGGTAAAATAGTACAAAATCACAGTTTATCGAGGGCGCGATTATTTTTGCCACCCTTACTCGGATTGCAGTTCGGATGATTGATTTCCCTGATTGCATAGCGAGTTATTCGCGCTACGTTCAATCGGTGCCATTGAAAGATTCAATTCGATCTCGAATAAAATTTATTTTCAAAACAGTCGCTGCAATTTGCTCTACGATCATAAACATTCGTACTGATGAATCTCTGTTTCTAATTTTTTCGAATTAATTGCAAAATTGAGCTATATCGTTTTGCGGGAATTATTGGTTCAACAGAATACGTATAAAATATTAAATACAAATGAAAATTTCTTACAATAATTCTGTTACATATTATTTAATACATCATACAAATTGTGTAATGATGTTGTAATAGTTGAATAGCAACTGATGTAACGATTTTTACGATGTAATTGACATATTTAATTAGACAAAACATAAACTTTTGCTATTTGTTTGAAATGTAGCATAGTTTATGCATTAACTAAGTGTCGAATTTTCAGTACTTGTAGCAATGAAAAAACTAAGTAAAAGCCGTTAGAGCATGTTTACATTGCAATAGAAATAAAGTTGGACAATTTGTTTAACCAAAACAAGTTTAAGTTTGAACATTTGACTGAACAGCACATGCATGTTCCAACCAAATCTAATTCGATTTAATGTAGCATAACCTAGCTAAACTAACCGAATTAAATTTAACCTAAACAAAACTCACTTCGTTAAATTATACGTAAACATATATAAATCAAACAACATCTTATTACATCACACTTAACCTTATTAAAATAAACCTGATGTTATTAAATCACGCCTAAACATACCTCACTTAAACAAACCTAACCTTATTAAAACACATATAAATATACCTAACCTTACCAAACTACCTTACCTAACCTATTATTTCCACTATAGATTGCTTACAGATAAGAAAACCTTATTATTATCTACTGATATTACTATCTTCATCTTTTTTCAGGAATATTCTTGTCCTTCTTTCAAAATAAACTGTTCATATGAAATGACACTATAATCGTCCATAAAAAAGATTATGTATATCATAAGAGATTAAAAAGACAATTCCTCAACAATATTTGTATCTTTACTAAAAATACTATTCTGGGTAAAATACTATTTTACCCAGAACTGACTCTGAGTAATTTTCTCCTAAATTTTTCTTCTCGATTTTGATCAAGAATCTCATTAATTTATTCCAAAGTTTTCAGCACATTGCGTGCACGAGCTCGAAAGGGTGTCAACGAAAAAACAGCGAGTCTTGCATGCTCACATTATCACCATTATATTGCCTAAGGTCGAACAATGCGAACCGAGGCACGTTTCGCGCGTTTTTGACGACACTCAAAAAATGGCTGTCGTCTCTATGCGACAGAGATGCTGGTCGCTTCTCTTATCCGCAGGACACTTAGTAGCACTTACTCTTATCTTAATGACCGGGGACGCGCGTAGCGTTAATGGTTCCTTTAAAATTAGCACGTGGAAACGTTACGAGAGTACTCTAAAATTTTTCGAAAAAAACCGTCACGCGACGGTGTTAGCGTGTACGCGCCGCTGTCAGTGCATTCCGATAAATGACCGGTTCTTCAGAGTCGCGATTCTGGAGCAACCGTAAAAGAGCGATCGAGTCAGCCATTATCCGTAAACTGACAGACCGTTTTGGGCCCGAAAGCTTGAATATTAAGTAAATGTAATAATTTAACGCTCATGTAACGCGAAATCAAGACCATTCCTTTTCTTTCTTCTTCATTTGTGGGTTTGATACTATCATTTGAATTTGTGAATTATAAGCAACGAATTATATCACACTTTTTAGCTTGTTGTATGTAATGTGCTCCATTTTTATATCGTCAAATGGTGTCAACATATGGTTCAAAATAAATAAATATCCTCTGGGTGTTCTGTAAATTGTGGTACAATATGGCAGCGCAAAATAGTCGCCGTTAACCTAAAATGACGGCCATTTTGAGCTAGAAAGAATATTAAGTAAGTGCAATAGCTTAGCTTGAATTTAGGAATTTGAGAAGTTAGGACTGTGAAGATGTGGAGATTGAGAAATATGGCAGTATTGAACTTTTTGTGATTTGCAAATTGAGGAGTTTGGTAAGTCGAGAATATGGAAATTAGGGAATTTAGGAATTATATAATTTAGTGATTTGTGAACTTTTCACATTCTCAGCATAGAGAACAAAATATTGAGAACCATAATTAATTCAAAAGTTTAATTTCAAACACTCACGATGATTATGAATACTCTTGCCCCTTTTTAATCCCTTGCATTAAGATTTGTCAGGTGCGTCAGTCAGAACTAACTAATCAACAGCAATATAAAAACAGAAAAAGAAAGTTGAAGTGTTATGTCAATTTTGTATTCATTCTTGTAGAATTATGCTTAACCCTTTGCACTCCTATGTCGAGTGTTGCTCGACATCACATTTCTCTTGGATCTTATAAATAATTCAGATAAATGGTTGAATATATATATATTGATTTATTTACTATTTATAATAAATGAAAAACGTATTTGTCACATACTTCACACTGTTGCAATATATTTCATTGAGAATCCCTCTTTGATCTATTTTGTAAATGAAAGGGTTGATAGGTAATAGATATTAAGGGGTGCAAAGTGTTAAACTTACACAAAACAGAACTTCAAATTGAAACTTATTAACTGGAATAAGATTTATTACGATTGAAGTACGAGTGCGTCACAGCAAAAGATTAATAGATAAGATATTTCATAATTTCAATTCGCACAAGAAAAAAATCGCTTTCCATTCTGCGTAAGAGAAACGACATAATACGCGTCGTGCCCTGTTTATCGCCCAAACGAGTTACGTAAAAATTAAAACAGGTGATCAAGGTAGTGAACAGACAGGCTACTTTGACTGATATTGTAAGACTCGGAACGGATCATTGATCTAACAAGTCAGCCGTGACACTTGAACAGTCCATTGTTTTACGTTCACACCCGGTGCACAGCTCGAGTTAAAGCAACTTTTGTTCGCTGCTAGACCGCAAGAAAAAGGTACAAATTCAGATCAGTTGCCGAGAAATATGCACGATCGGAATCCACAATTACGCTTTCATATCGATTTATGGCATAACGGTACCTGAAATACACAATATTCGTTTCTATCACGCGAATCAACTGCACAATAATCGCTGCCAGTTGCTGCATAACTTTGAAACATTATCCCCATTATTTGTTCAAAATGTGATCGCCAGGTTTTTACCTGTAACCTGAGGTTTTCACCTTACGTCCGTAATTTCTCGATACGTTTCTGTGCAAGTTTTACTACTCTATACGTAACGGAGTCAAAAAATTAGTTGCATTTGCAGAGAACTTTTTGTGCGAAGGTAAGAAAATGTGGAGTATTCTTTCGTCTTTCGAATGTTATTACAAAATTCACAAGTAAACGATTTTTATGTAATCTCAGGTTTACGATCAATTTACGGACAGTTTTATATTTTTAATGCTAGGAAAATTTTTGAAATTTAAGTAACGTTAAAATAATATAAGTTCTTAGAATTTGAGGATTTGAGGATTTGAGAATTTGAGAATTTGAGAATTTGAGAATTTGAGAATTTGAGAATTTGGGAATTTGGGAATTTGGGAATTTGGGAATTTGGGAATTGGAGGACTTAAGAATTTGGGGACTTGAGAGTTTGGTGATGTGAAAATTACATAATTTTTAAATTTGGGAAATTCAGAATTTAGTAATGTGAAAATTACAGAATTTATGGATTTGAAACCTCAGAAAATTGAAATTTAAAAATTTGAGAATTTGAAAAGCTGAAAATTGAGGGATTTGAGAATTTAGAGATCTGAGAATTTGAGGATGTGAAAATTAGAAAATTTGAAGATTAAAAAATGTAGGTATTTGGGTATTTGGGAATTTGAGAATTTGAAAACTTGAAAACTTAAAAATTTGAAAATTTGAATTCTAAAAAATTTGGGAATTCTGAAGTTCACAAGTTCGTAAATTTAGAAATGTAAAGAGTTAATAAAATTCCTAATAATTTAATTGTAATGCATGAATTTTTTCATTTTTGCAGATGGTCGTCACTCGCATCCTCCTCTTCTTCGTTTTCTCTTTGACGATGACGACAGTTATTTGCCAGACATTCCAATACAGCCATGGTTGGACGAACGGGAAGAGATCAGTATCTTCGATGTTAGAAGAACTCGTGAATTCCCCTAGCAAGAATGCAGCTCAATTAGACAATGTCCTTGTTAATTGTGAGCTACAGAAGCTGAGATTACTCCTTCAAGGAAATATTAACAGTCAAGTGAGTAATATATTTCTTGTAATCTTTGAATCCTTGCAAGATGAAATTATTTCGAGAGGTGTTGGTTATGAAACGCGTATTAAAGAGTGTACGTATGTACGATCGTATTAAACGTGTCTGTATTTCAATCTGTGTATTTTTAATACACGGATATTTGTTTATCACTATTACTGTTATTATTATTAGTAGCAGTAGTAGTGGAAGTAGTAATAGTAGTAATACTAGTTTATGTACTAAAATTTATACAATTTAATATATAAATACGATAATACATATAAAGGAGACCATTATTAATAGTAAATTTATTTAATATCTTACAAAATTTTTATTCAACATAAATCAACATATAATCTTAATAAATTTATTTCACAATTTTAAGTTGCAACACAAGAGGAACATTAATATTCATTGTGAAATATAGATTTCACCATTACATAATTTAATACATGGTTTTGAACACAAAATTATAAAACATTGCGATTAATATTTGGAATTAATATCTTTCAACATACTTTATTAGTTTAATAGCTTCATTCTTTTACATGTATGTAGAAAGTGTTAGTATGTATACATATATGTACATTTATTTTTATTTTACAGGTTCTGCAACATGTCTGTGACTTCTACGATTCCCCAAAGAGAAATATTCCTGAAATCGTGGTCAACGAACACTTTCGACGACAGTCATCTTCTACCAGCAACAATTATTAAAAATATTAATGTTATTTTACTCTAAAGCCTAATGACTGTATTCACTAATTAATTATAACCAAGTAATAAAGTAACTATAGTATTTACATTATTGTTTTATTCTCATACCTTACATTAGAAAAACATGATTCAATTCGATAGAGATGATACATTATCTACCTTGCATGCTAATTAAAATGCTAGTTATTATTATCCATGGATATCCATTTTAATAACATTGTTGTTATCTATGGATCTGTATTACAATAATAATTTTATTACGTATATATCATAATTTTTATACTAATTTTATTTTCTATGGATAATAATTTCAATAATAATTACATTACCCTTACTGTCACAATACTAGTTTTATCTATGGATCATAATACTAATTTTATCATATATGTACCATTATTTTAACACTAATTTTGTTATTCACGGATAATAATTTTAATAACAATTTCATTATCCTCTGTTGAAATACTAAATTTATTATGCATATAACTTATATCTCCTACTTAAAATACACCATTATTTACAAGTTAACACTATTTCTACCGTGATTTTGTGTATACCTATTTCGACTAAAAGATGTCTTTTGACACGTCGTTTGAATGCAAATAATTGCCAAAATTGTTGGAATTTGAAATTATCAATTGAATGTAGGTAATTTGAGGAATATATTTATTGATGTGTTTTTATTAGAGATAGTTTTAGTCAGCTATGTATACTAAAGTGCAACATGGCGGGAGATAAGCGAATATCAAAGTTATGTTGCAACTCCTGAATTTTACGTTACAACTGAAATCGGGATTCTCTAATCTGATTATAATTGATATGCAGCAAAATGGTAATATTTATAAGTAAAATGGTTTAAAATTAGCCACTACCAAATCTTGAAATCCTTCGACACCTCTTGATAGAAATGGTGTTAATTTCCATGTTACGACTTTTACCGTAAAATGGCGGCAGCAATCAAAATCGATAGGATGACTTCGAGGGCTGTGATTAGAGAGCCTTCGGTTACAACAAATCAGAGTCGATGAACTCTCGTCTCTGTCTTCATTGGTCGATTCTCATTTCCGTACAACTTGTTTTTGCCAATGCTATTTTCGCGATTTGGCTACAATCGTTCCATCGTTGATAAATGAATTATTCGAAGGTTTATATGTAGTTCACGCTGGGATACGTTCGACTGAAAGATTAATCGTTGATCGATCATGGTTAGCGAGGTAATTGTTTTTATCGAGGTGTGCCTATCTGAATTTGTATTAATTATCGAGTTTTCCTCGCGGATGTTCGCGGGACCATCCAGTTTTCATCGGGTCCATCGCTACGCTTAATTAAGTTTTCGCTGTCCTAATTGGACAGACGGTCAATAGGATAGATCGCAGCGGCCTGCGCTGCTCGCCGTAGGGGATTTTGTCTGTCAACGGAAGATGGAGTGAAACCCTGGCGAATAGAGACACCTGCTGAGTCCACGGATTATCCCTACGGACAACTTATCTCGAACTGCAATTCGGCACTTGAATTCGGAGACTTTATATTTCGCGTGTGACCGATAAACATCATTGCCTTAGGAAACGAGGCTATTTCTACGACTTAACGCTAAACCTACCGCCGTATAATGTGTACTTACAAATAAAAATTAACTTGAGAAATACATAAACAAATCAGATATAAATTAATATACAAATTCTTTATCTTGATGAAAATCAACACTTATTTTTAAAAAACCATCTTGACTAATTTTATAATCTAAAGCAAGGAATTTGTGAAACAATCATTTGAACGTTTTAGCAGTTTCAGTTAACTAACTTTAATAAAAATTCTCTGGTTTAATTATTTTTGAATTCTTTCTGATTTAATTTCAAACTTATTAAATTTCTAGTTTCACAATCTAGACTTTTTAAAATTAGAGTCGTAAAATTTTACAAACTTTTAAATTCGAAAGCTACTGAATCAAGAAGCTGATTGCCAGAATTGAAAATTTGAAAGTTTTTAAGTACCTAAATTTAGAGGTTCCTAAAGAGAATTTTTACTTTTACAAAACTTGCAAGATAGGAAATTAAACAATTTCCGTTACTGAAGTTACTAAACTTACTAATACTAAAATACTAAAATACTAAAATACTAAAATACTAAAATACTAAAATACTAAAATACTAAAATACTAAAATACTAAAATACTAAAATACTAAAATACTAAAATACTAAAATACTAAAATACTAAAATACTAAAATACTAAAATACTAAAATACTAAAATACTAAAATACTAAAATACTAAAATACTAAAATACTAAAATACTAAAATACTAAAATACTAAAATACTAAAATACTAAAATACTAAAATACTAAAATACTAAAATACTAAAATACTAAAATACTAAAATACTAAAATACTAAAATACTAAAATACTAAAATACTAAAATACTAAAATACTAAAATACCAAAACTTAAATAACAGTAAACACATTGAAATAAAATATTTATCTCTGCCAAATTTTCCTAAGGAATAGCAGCTAGTGCAATCAAAAAATTATTAGCATGACCCTTGTATCACAAAGGATAAAAGTAAGAAAATCAGTAAACGAAGTAATCTAAAAAATCTTGCTGTCGTTGATCGAAGAAAACGGAGCACAGATGCAATTAATAAAATTTGCAGCTAATTATAACTAGAAGAGTAACGGCAGCTCACGCGCGAGCGTTCACATTACGGACAAGAGCACTCACGGTTATTAGTTGATAGCGTCAGGACGCGTATATAACTATCATGCACGGGCAATGCACTTAAAACTTGGCTGTTAATCAGAAACCAATTACGGGAGGCGGGTCGAAATGAGTTTAATCGCATTAAATATTAAAGCGTCGTCACCGTACCATGGGACTGGGTGTACCAGCAGCCATAGGTGACCCTCTTCTACCAGCCAGTCATGGAGTAACCACACACTGCCACGTGCCCATGTGAAACTCTCTTCTCTCTTAATACCCACGGGAATAACCGAGCAACCCTACGCCAATGTCCTTTATGGGGTGGTGCTTGCCATGCCCGCAATACGCATGCACGAATGCGTTTACCGATAATCTTTCTCGTGTGCGTGTACACCAACTGCACGTGAATTTTCCTCACTGATTCGAATACTTATTTTGATTTCGTGTATTCGGGTGAAGTCTGTAGGAATCATTTCGATAATTTCTTATTAGTATTATAAATAAATTATAATGATATTGAATGTGAACTTGTTGAGAAAGTTACTAAACATCGGAGGATTTAAAGAATTTTTGTTGTGAGGAGAATTGGGATGGTTATTTGGAAAAGGATTTTTATCAAATGATAAAGTGATATCACAGATTTTTATGTAATGTTTTATTATGTATTTTATAACATATTTTACTACATATTTATTACGCATTTTACTGCATTTTTGATTACATATTTCATTACACAGTAATTACTGTTCTCTTCATTCTTTGTTGACACAAATACACTTGAAAATGTATTCGTTGATGCATTATTTAAGTTAACCTTGCAATCTTCTTTTCCGTTTCTTTTCTTTTTGGTATAGTAGTACGATTTGCAAAACTCTTTCATGTCTTACAAAAGGCTCAATATATCTTTCAAATCTTAATGTATTTTATAAAGAACGCAAAAGGAATATAAAGTATCTAAGATTATATTAATATACGTAGAAAAAAATATAGTCCAATCATTTTTAAAATAGATAATGTTTATTTTTGAATTAACTTACTACATCCTGATATTATAACTTAATTGATTTTTCAGTGTTAACCAGGAAAATATAAAAACGCGATTTTTTAAATAAAATGTAGATTACATGTGGGAGACAACAAGTAGAATTTCAATATATTAGGTTGGGGAATAAGTTCGTAGCGTTTTGACATTTTCTTTTTTTTACAGCGACATTTTGCAATTTGCAAGAGGTAATATTC